AATCAGAGAGGTATGGCATAAGCTTTTATAATCAGAGAGCTTCCTTCATCATAAATACCAAACCTTTGTCCCATGCTTTAGGGTTGCTGGTTGTAGCCGTCTTGGTCTATGGACATAGGCAGACAAGGTTCTTTGGGTAGATATGATATGTTTTATTAGACCAACTAAATAGCTGGAAAAATTGTTCTTTGCAGTTTTTCAGGCACAAACACCCTTCTTCAGGCAATAGGGAGAATCTATTTGTGTGCTCTCCTGGGTAGAATAGGAGCCAATATATTAAATGCAGGTCTGTGAAAATGGAAATGCATGGCAATGAGGATCTGAGGGAATGGGAGACAATAGGTGAGAGACAGGTTGAGGGGGTGGAGAAGGAGGAGTGTAGAATTGGTGATAGAATGTAGCTGGTAAAATGCAGATGGATAACTTGGGGCTATCAGATGGCAGGCAGGTTATAATGTGCCATAAATCCAATGCCACTGTCTATATTTAGTCCACGATTTTTTGTATGCAGTAGATTTATGAAGTGTTTGTAGGCTCATCTGTGAAAGGTGTATTGTAAATTCCCTTTAAGGATTAGAACCGAGAGACTGGAGAGAGAAAGTGGTTGTCTTGTGAGACATGTGCCCCCACAGGTAATTGGGTATTTTTGTCTTTGATAGCTTTTTGGTGTGTATTCATTCTGGTACACGGTTGTTGTTTGGTTTCTCCTACAACTGCTGTGCCCTGTGCCAGGAGCTTTTCCCAAGGGCAATAGAAATGGGGGTCCCACAGGAGGGACCTCTGGATGCAAGCTGGGAACTAGTGGAGTGGGAGTGGGGTCCGGGACAGGAGGAGTACCATGACAGAGCCAGTGACCTGTGGTCCATGGAAGCAGAAAGACCCCAGGTGGGCCCCGATGCCAAGGCTATCGGGGACACTGCCGTCCTTCCAGAGCTGATCTGCTCTCCCACAGCCCTGATGGTTACTCCATGTATGCAAGGCCTCCAAGCAGTTCCAGGACAGTCCTGAAGGGGTGCAGGAAGAACCAGGGGGAGAATTCAGCCTATCAACTTGCCTGGCCAGGCTGTTACTGGGACTGTGGCAACAGAGCCTACTGGCCTGAGCTCATCTACCCACCCTGTGAGGGTCCTGGGGGTGAACTTTTCCACTCACCACAGTCCCCATCCTGACTCGGGTCCTGCTGCAAGAGAATGACACAGCCTTGGTTGGGATAAACAGACTTGGGCTTGGTTCTGCCATGTGAAATGAGCCCCAGGCATGGCCAAGGGTCATGGAGCCAAAGTCCCCAAAGGGGGAGACTGGGTCGTGGGGTGTGAGGTCCAAGGAGCTGGGGGTTATGTGAGGGAGAGCCAGGAGTCCACAGCCCCCACTATGGTGTTGCCTCCCACCCTGCTGCCTCCTTCCACCTCAACCCCACAGCCACTTCCTGTCCCTGCCCTGCAACTATCTCAGATTGACAGGGGGTCCAAGATCACACACCTGTCTAGCTCCTACACAGAGAAGTCCCTGGTCTTCACTCTGGAATCTAAAAATGAGTGTGGTAGGTCTATAGCCCCCTATCCTCTACCTCCCCTCCAAGGTTTTGTTTGTTGAGTTCAGCCCATGCAGCATTCTCCTGGACCCCAAGTCCCTCCTCTTTCCCCTTCCTAACCATCCCTTCCAGGTTATTTTGTCCCTTTCACAAACTTTCCTTGCCACCACTTGGCACGACCTCACCCCTTCCAAAGGTTTCCTGGTTTGCATCAGTAGGAAGAGGGACCAAGTTGTCATGGGCAACATTCAACAGATTTTCTTTATTGAAAATGAGAAAAGTGTGGCAGTGGCAACCTTATAAATTGAGGCACAACTTCCTTGCGTTCTCCTGCATCCTGGTGTGCGCCCCTAGGGGAAGTGGAAGGGGAACAGTTTCCAGGCAGCCTGGGTTGTGGGCAGCACTGCCCAGAACACATGGCCAGAGGAGTTGTCTGACCCAATGCCAGGGGAGGAGATCCATGGCCCTGTGCCAGGGCATGGGCACTGAAAGCCTCCAGCCCAACTCATCCAGGGAGGGCTCCCAATCCTCAAGGCTAGAGACAGAAGTTTCACATAAACTTGTATAAGTGATCAGAAAATGGTTCAAATCTGTAATGCAACAGAAGTTCAGTGCACATAAATCCCTTTCAAAATGGCCAAAACTAGTTCAAGATAAACATGTATGGATGTAGCATCAGACTTAACTGATTTAAGTTAAATCGGTTTATTAAATTTGTGTCTCAAATCCCCTCCAGATTCAAGTTAACACGTGGTCCTCCAGCATCCCAGGATGCTTTGCATCTCCCCCACCCTCGCAGGGTGGGTAAATAAGCCTTGGCTCCAGCCCAGCAAGGAGGCATGCTCTAGTGCCCTTCCCCCCCACCCCCCGCCACCTAGCCTGAGCTACTGCAGGTATGCAGCTACATTTGTGAAATCAAAAGTGAATGTCTGTTCACTTGCTTATTGGTTCAATCTATGCAGTTTAGATTAACCTGCAAAGATTGAATTGATTCATCCTCAGGCTTTTTGACTCTCTGTACTTAGCCCAAGAGTGAGGAGGTAGTCAGTCAGGACTTTGCAGATCCAGACAGCCCATTGCTGTGTGGGGCTGGCACCCCAATGTCAGGGGGCTCACTCTCTCCCTGATCCCTGTGCCAAATCTGCATGACCTGCCGTGCCCAGTCTGTATGCTGTGCTTCTTCTGCCCAGGCTTTGCAGAAGACCTCTCCCCTGGTGTCTCAGTTTTTGTGGAAGACGTGCACACTGATGATAAGCCGCAACAGGTTCTTCTCTTCCACCTTGAGCCATGCACCGAGAGTCTGCCAGTGCCCCTTGAGGTGGCTGAAGGCACACTCCATTGTAATGAGATACCTGCTTAGGCAGTAATTCTCCTTCCAGCAGTCCAGCTGCCCCCATAGGGCTCCACCAGCCAGGGCAGGACTAGATTCCCTAACGATATGGGGAGGGACAGTGACATCACCAATAATGAAATTGGGGACCCCAGGAGCATAGCACCCACTTTCCATCATCTTGGGGAACGGGAAGATACGAGCATTGTGAGCACTGCCTGCCCAGCTGGTGAAGATGTGCGTGAAGCGGCTCTGGTGGTCAACAATGTCCTGTCAGATGATGGAGGAGTAGACCTTTGTGGTTGACAAATGCCTGGTCACCCTGGAGTGGGCAAAGGATGGGCACCCATGAGGCAGCAGCCGGTGACCACCTTCTGTAGGTTGACAAGTTGTAGATGAAGCAGTTGGCCAGAACATGTGGATGACCAGGCACACCTCCCAGATGGCCTCTCCAGTCGTGGTCTTGCCCACATGGAACTGGTTAGTATATAGTGGTAAATACTGGAGGTGGTCAGCTTAATGACGGCGGTGACCACCCACTTCTCTGGAGTGAGGGGTGACCACATGCTGACATCCTGGCATGTGATGTGGGGATGGGGGTCATATGGGCAACAATGCCCATGAAAGTGGCCCAGCACATGCAGAAGGTCTGGACCTACTGTTCATCATCCCAGGTGCTCAAAATAATCAGCTTCCACCAGTCAGTGCTGGTGGTGTGTGATCGCCCACAGCATCCAGCAAGAGACTCACAGGGTGACAAACAAGACAGGACACAGCTCCTGGGTGTCCCTGCTTGGGCACAGGTGGCAGGACATCATGGCAGGGTGCAGGCAGGCCCTGGACACAAAGGCACATGTAATTCAGGATGAAGGGGTGATTGCTCTGGGTCTTTTTTGGAAGCCTAGGGCTGGGTGCAGGGGAGAATCCATGGTGATGTGGCAGAGGGTTGAGGGCATGCTTGCCCATCCATAGCAGCCAATCAGGGGTGGCCTGGGTACTTAGCTTAGCCGTCAGTCTCTGGCAGCCCAGAGAGCTCACGGGACATGCTGGGAGGTACGCAGGAGCACCCTCAACCTGTAGGCCTCAGCCAGTGTAGGCAGCCTGCATGCCTCTC